TAGAGTTGCAAGGTCGGAATTCATTTAGGAATGCATAGAGTGTACAGCTATACTATAATATTAAATGTGTATAGTATCATTTAAATTTCCATCAGTTTCGGTATTATGTATTTGGTAACTTAAGAGACATAGTTAGAGTACTCACTTTGATCAATTGTAAAGTATGTCACGTATTTGATATATTTTCGAAGTTGGTTCATATTTTCGTTAAAATACTTCACGTTCGATGACAATGTATGAATATGGAAAATCTGATTGTATATCTAAATTACGTTTAAATAATGAAGAAAATCGACGTTCATTATCGATATATCCATAAACGATAATATATGTCGTTTTAATGCAAATAATATATACTATCCCTCGTTGAAAAAAAAAAAAAAAAAAAAACATCGATGTCCTGACTGTTTCGTGTTGAACTAAAGTTTTTGATGTTTTAACAACTGCTTTGTTAAAGAAACAGAATCTTAACATCGAACCTTAGCGCTGCTGATCGTTGTCAGAATTTTGAACTATTATAGAAAAATATAACAATTAAAAACCTTCTTATTAAATCATTACATTCTATCATAATCACATTAAATTTTAGTATATTATTTTTATTCTATATCTGCATTCATCACGAGAAATTATAATTAATGCATAGAATTTAATAAAATTAAATATATAGTTATATATATATATTTCTATATAAATATATATTTAATTATACAGATATATATCTTTTAGTATTAAATATATATTTTGTAAAGTTTATTTTGAAGCAGCAAAGAACGTTAAGATTCTCGAAGAAAAGGTAGAATTAGAAAAAAAAAAAAAAAAAAAAAAAAAAAATAAGAAGAATAGCCGACGAGTCGCGTAATGTCGATGTGTAAAACTATTAGTTTGCAATTCATGTAACTAGTTAACAGATGAACGTGACGTATGTTAATAAGTAAGGAAAATGTTACAAGGAAACTATGTGTGTTTGTAATCGCGTTCCTTAAACAGACTGGCCCTCATAAATAACATTAAAATAATGCGTTTATGTATGAACTGGTGTTCACTAGTAAACGATTAGCCGTTAGATATCATGCTAGATTAGTCGAAATGTAATGTATGCTAGATGTTCTAGTGCCATAATAGGGTTTACACCTTCCTATTTATGCATTCTGTGTTCCCTAATGGAAAATAGCGAGTAGTTATGTGTACATGCTAGATTAGTTTTTAAAAACATTAGACCTTAGTCCATTGATTTGAACAGAATTTTATGCTATAGTCTATATTGAATGTACTACTTTCATTTCCCTCTAATCATCTTTGTTACCGCTATAAAACCTTACTTGTTTATTGGTTGTTAAGCTTTGTTAATAAAATACTATAAGATTTTGAACGACTTTTTTCATTCGCTCAATTTTCCAAAGACCCACTTTCCAAATCTGTCTGAGAAAATTGATTCATCGTGCCATTCTGTATTTGAAAACGTTTGTCTTCTTCAGTTCTGTCAATAAAAGTCTAAAGTGTTACATAAACAATCGCACTCTAATTATAAAATATAATTACGTAATTTCGTTAAATTTTTGTTTTATACAAGTGCGAAATTATACAAAATTGATTTTAATAACTTAATTTATTAATCAGTCTTATTACGTATTGGAAAAATCCTGGCGATAAGATGAATTGAATATTTGTATCAGTTTCTATAAACAAATCAAATCAAACCAAATCGGATCAAATCCATCCGAAATATTAACTCTTAGCAGGCGGCGCCACTAATAGCATGGAAGTTAGTAACAATCAAGATGGCTGCTACCAACTCGAATCTATCCAGTGATAGTCCAACCAAGAAAGAAGACGAATTCAATGAATTTTATTCCGAAGTATGTAAATTTCGAATGACATCATATCATTAAAACACTCATTCGTGTAAAAGTCAGTTTTCAATATAATTCTTGATTATATAACTGTAAACACCTGTGCCTTACTTTAAGGGTTAACAAACGTCACTATGTATGCATTAAACAATAATAATAAATCGAATTTAAAGCATCAGTATATTATATAGTTTTCCGTTATTTGACAAGTGATACCTAACATTTGTTAAAACGTCACAAAATGAACTGCTGTTCCAGTAGTAGTTTTCGGGTTATAAATAAGCCTAACCTGTACGAATTCGCGCTCTAAACAAATAGTGATTTCGCGCTATACGAAATGTTACATTTCTTTAGGTGAAAGAAATAGAAAAAAGAGATTCGGTATTAACTCCCAAGCAACAAATCGATAGACTACTTCGGCCAGGATCGTCGTATTTTAATTTAAATCCTTTCGAAGTGTTACAAATTGATCCATCCACCTCTATAGATGAAATCAAGAAAAAATATCGACGTGTAAGTTAACACCTTTCGCCTTTAATCCAATGTGTAAGTTTTAGAATTTACATGAGCAGATTATCTTTATTTTGTAGATGTCAATTCTCGTGCATCCTGATAAAAACCAAGATGATGCGGAACGTGCACAACAAGCATTTGAAAGTATGTATTTATTGTTACTTTAACAACTCACAGATTTTCAACATTGCTCCTTTGATTATAGTTGTTAATAAAGCATGGAAAACACTGGAAAATGAAGAAACCAGAGCTAAATGCATGGATGTTATAGAAGAAGCAAAAGCTAGAACTGATCATATGGTATGAATAACGAGAGAAAGTAAATTTTCACTGTTTGCGATAATATGTAAATAAGTAAATATATTAGATTGTAGAGAAGAAGAAGAAACTGAAGAAAGAAGGAAAAACAGAAAGTGCAAATGTACTTGAAGAAGAAACAGAAGAGGGTTATAGACACGCAGTTTGGGTTATGACAATGAAGCTGTTCGCTGATATGGAGAGAAGAAGGTTAATTTAAATAGCAAGAATAGTTCATGAAATTGATTCTATTACTCTAATAGTTTGTATTTCTTTCTTTTTTTTCTTTCTATAGACGGGAATTAGCAACTAGAGATGCAGAGCAACGTAAAAGAAAACGAGAAGAGGAACTATCTGCAGAAGCACAAGCTGCATTAGAACGTGAGTGGCAAAAAAATTTTGAAGAATCCCGACAATCAAGAGTTGATAGTTGGAAAGCTTTCCAATCTGGTACTAGCGCCACAAAACAAAAGAAAGCAAAGAAATTGAAGGCCTTTAGGCCTCCTAAAACGAAAGCTGAATCACGATAATTAAGTAATTGTTCCTGACGCCTGACATAGATTCTTTTATTTGATACAGCATTTCATATTTCTTGCAAAAAGAAAAAAAAAGTAGTTTAAATAGTATGTTCTTACTATGTGACATTGGATTACTGAATTAATTAAAACTAATTCAAATTATTCTTATTCGAGATTCATTATTTAAAACTAGTTAAGAATGCATCAAAATCAGGTGTCAAAGTAGAGAGTGAGTTGTAAACTGAGTGATGAGTACATTGAGCAGCAAAGTGTGAGAATGATTAGTGTGTGTATCTTTCATAAATAATTTGTATGTTTGTTGAATGTATATGTATGTATGAACGTTGTGATATATTTACATGGCCCGAGTAAAATTCAATTTTACTATAAACTTTGATCTAATGAAATTATTGAATTGAACACAAAGCAATTTACATTTATACTATACATCATTGGATGACAAATGTCAATTTTATGAGATACGTATATCTCATACTTTATCTTTGAGATATTCAATCACAATGCTTTACAAAAAGGACAATACTTAAGTAATCTAATGTCTATTAAACAAAATTTAAATCAATGCTTTTTGTTTTCTCATACATCTTTATGAATTATTGTGAAAAGTTTGCACACATCGAAACAATAATTGAGAATTTAACAATTACTATTATATTTTAAAGTTTCGAGACAATTTGAAATACAAGATGTAAAAATAAAAATAAAAAGTAAAGATATGAATATTTTTTTGCAGAACATAACCTCCGTTTATATATTCTTACAAAAATTCAATTATATGTATAGATATATATCCTGTGTGTACAAAGTATCGCTATGTAACATTGTGTGACATAATCGTTATATTATTACTATGACAAAATATTTCATCTGTATTTTATACATACGTAATGCGGATGAAATGTGAATGTTTCTTATGTTCCTTGTTTTCTTTGTTCACCTTTTTTCACTTGTTTTTCCACTTTTAAATCACAGTTTGTCCGTACAGTAACAATCGTATTTTGTACTGTTAATGATACTGAAGTAGTCATATTAACATCTAAAATTTTTAACCGCCACTTTCAACTGCGCTTGAACTCATGTATGGACAAAGTCACACATAGAAAACTTTAACGTATAGTTCGCTTGGAAGTGAGAAAATAAAAATGGATTGTTGTTATTTTAATTTAGCAAAACACTGAGCAAGTGTTACGACAATATTTTACGTTTCATCGAAGTGCTAGCTTGACGGGCCATGTAGTCATAACTTCCGGTTTTCAATACGAGCTCGCGTAATGAATATTACATTGTGGTGTACACTTGGTCCAATTGTAATTTGTAAGATTATATTGTAAGGGAAAAAAATTTCTAAAGTGTGTAAGCTTTCTCATTGCAGGTCACTTTGAATAGTTTTACTGACACATGAAAGTCAATGTTGTATAAGTGCCGTGAGAAAGTGTTTCTGTGTAAAAGATAAAAACGGCAGGATGAAAGAATTTTTATCGAAGATATTGAAGCGAATGAGTGAGTGAGTAATAACGCGAAATAACATTTACATATTTCTAATTCTTTCCTTCGTTTTTTTTTTTTTTTTTTTTTTTTTTT